GGGGGGAGGTTACAGGGGGCATGCTCCCTTGTCTTACCCCATAATTTGATATTTTGCAGTTAGGTTTGAATTTTTCTTGAAAACTGTTAACTGATTTGCGACAGTTTTAAGAACAAATAATATGTGATCTGCAGCAAACAATACACAATTTGACCCCCAAAGCAGTGTATCTGTGTACGGAAGTAGTCCACGAATAGTTCCTAGGTGCTCGCCGGAGACGTCTCCGAATATCTTCTGATCAATGTTGACAACAAGAAAAAAATGTGAGGCAGCTTGGTGGAATCAGGCTCTCGTCAAAATAATCAAAGTGAAGAAACTTGCATTTTTCAGCAGGTTTGTGAATTTTTATCAAATTTTTGTTTTTTGGCTCAACACCTTTCAAGCGCATTAAAAAACTAATTTCTGTGTGGTTTGACTGAGGAACGTTAATTGAAAGAACAAAAAATGTAAATTTTCAGTTACCACAGACTCTTAAACTAAGGGAATGAATAACCTTTGGGGGCCAATTTCTCACTAATTTTACCTCTAAAAACAGGTGACCCCCACCTCCTTCATTCACAAGTATCTCGACTTGTTTTCAAGATAAAAGGATATTTTTTTCAACCAAATAAAGACAAGTAATCAAGCTTTTAGAAAATACCAATAACTCTACATACCCAAAAATTGACGAGAGCCTGATTCCACCACACTAATGAAACACTTGTTTACCGCGCTGCTGAAAGAGGCCTGTGTGGGAGATCATCAAGAGACAGATCTGCGACAGACATCCGTGATCATTCGTTCGACGTTCATACCTTTGTTCAGATGCTCTCGAAAAAGCTGTAATAGTATTATCCGGATTTTTCCCACTCACTCGCCTGTTTTAAAAAAGAATAATGTTATATTTAGGCTACCGCTCTTTATATCTTTCTTGGGAGATTGCATCTATGGTTTCCTGTTGACTGTTACCGATGTTGCTCTGTTTTTCTTTGTCATCGTGATCCACCGACCATCTACAAAGTGGTGTGGGCTTTGGTCCGCGTTGTTTGTTTATTTGTTTGTTTGCTTGCTTGTTTGAGTAGTAGTAGTAGTAGTAGTAGTAGTAGTAGTAGT